AATCAAATAAACAAAAAGTAATTTATTTACAATTTAATGAAGTATACATAGTATATAAAATACTATAAAAAATATTTAAAATATAAATATATAGCGTATTAAAAGTAGGACCCAAAATAAAAAAAAAACAATCTTAATTGATAAATATTAATCATTGAAAATATAAACCACAAGTTACACCCTCTCACTACTGTTGATGATCTTGGACAATTTAGACCATTGCCTAGTGTTGTGAACTACAGGCTGAATAATCTTTTCCTTGCCTTTATTTGAATTTTCATAATTACACTCTGAACTTTTATTATCCTGAACAATACCACTCTTATATTTATTACTCCTATCCATACTTTCTTTATCATGATTATTTGTACATTCATCAACATACTCGGTGAAATCATCTTTCTTATCTTCTACTCTTGTACATTTATTTATATGAAAATCCTTAGTAGTTAAATCAGTTACGAGCTTACTCTTTTCATTATCTAAATCTGAATTTTTTATCCTGGCTGCTTTTGATGAATCTTCGTTAACACTCTGATATACATTTAAAAGTCTTGAACGAACGGATCTATATAGTGCTGGAGTATTCTCAGAAATATTAACTTTCTTCTTTATTGCAGAACCAGTATCAACATAAGAAATATCGATGGCATACACATATAAATTCTTTTCAATAATCTCCATTTGCCCTACAACAAAAAGTACTGATTCATGCAATCAAGTGGAATTCGTTAAATATTTGAATTGAGAATTATGGTGCGGAAAAACAACTTTGATCGTAAAACTGTAAATTTGCCTAGCATAATCATTTACTAATACATTAAGTATTGCATTTTTGCGATTAATCTCTTTAGGTGTATCCTGAGCAATACCAACAAGTGAAACTTTTAATGGGCACCTATTTGAACTGAAATCTTTTTTAATTGAAAGGTGAGTCGAGGATATGACAGTCATCTAGATTTAAAAAATTTAATAATAGTTCGAAAATTATAATGCATGCAACTAAATACACAAACTTTTAATCTTAAATTTCTATTGTAAGATCCAAGCACGATTTTTCTACCAACACAATAATACTTATTTGTTTCAAAAATCAATTGTGAATTAGGATATCTCTCTTCATCATTCATCAGAATAAATAAAGTCATATCCAATTCGCAATCCTCACTCTCAATAGGATAAACACCAACTGCCCTTATAGCAAACAATTTTGAATCCTCATTGCAAGTTTGACGAACCTGATTCACTTTAACGATAGTATCAGCACAACAAGGCATCATGAACAACTAAACAACAAAATTAACTTATTTTTTGCATATTGAAAAATAACTGCTGATATTTATTTGAATATAACTACAATAAATTACATCATATAAACTTCATATCTGAAGTGACATAAACCAAAAGATGTCATTCATAACAATTACCTTCCTATAAGAGATATATATATATATAAAAAAAAAAAAAAACTACCTTACTAATATTTTACAATAATATTCACACGAAAAAAAATATTGCAAAAAACTATCCTTAAACAAGATACTGATAATGCGTGTTTAAAAATTCGTTTAATGAAATATGGTCATTATTATTGCTCGATCGTAGACAATAATGCTATGACAATGAAAATACATATAGGAAATAGATCAAATATCATACACTCGTAACTGTCCCTAGCTATTCAGAAATAACTTTACATTTCGACTCTAGTCCAAACAACAGGCTAACCAAGCCAGATCTATTCATTAAAACGTGCTATCGACAAATCCTAAATACACCTCATGCTTTAATCTTAACATTAATACACTCTGATCACAAACAAGAACAACACTAGGTCAACGATACAAGAGAAAGAAACTTCATGGTTAGATAGCGATTAAATGAAAATCTTTGTATGTTTCTTCTCGATCTGGTCCTTTCACTGCTCTTGCAGCCTCGAAACCAATTTATCCAATCGTCGGTTCTTAGACATTACACTAGTAGTTGCACTATTTCAAACCACCAAGCTTCGTAAACAACGGGTATGAAAGGTGGGCCAATAAAGCCAGCCTATACCAAGGTAAACGATAACAAACAGAAGATAAACAAACAACTACCCAGCATACTAATCCTAAATACTCTTAGCCCGGTAACACATTCCTACTCTACGCATGATATTCATATGAATGGACACATATCATGACAACAAATTACAACATACTAACACAACAATTATTTATTTTCTATTAAAGCAATACATTTAAGACAAACAAAATGTCTACAGACTACACTCATTAAGATACATAATGTCATTATGACAATATCCAAAAAAAGCTGTAATCGATCAACACGTGATCCGCAATACAGTCTACTAATAACGCAATAATGACTGCTTTGTCATTTCGTTGACAAGCTTATCAAAACAAACAAATATAACAAAAAACAAAATACAAAAAAATATTAAAAAAATACAACCAACAAAAAACCAACATTAAACTTCCATAAAAAAAGCACGAAACAAAAAAAAATAAAACTAAAATAAAAATACTCACGCTAACACCAAATGGCTTTCAAAAAAAATTCACAAATATATAAGTCATAAAAACAAATTATAATAAAAAACACAATGTAAGCATATTATAATTAACTAAGTGTAAAAACATAAATACCTTAATTAAATAAATTATACAAAACCATATAAATTAATAAACCATTAAACCTATTTCAAACAACAAAATTAAATAAAAAGAATATAAAACTATAAACACCTAAAAGAATAAACTAAATAAAAAAAAAAACCTGTCACAGGTGATCGGACTGGTCCAGTGCGTCATCGCATGTCGCACAGCTACCTAATTCTATTAATTGAGATTTTTTAGTTGTTATTGTCTATATATATTATCAAATTCTTTATAGTGTTCTTTATCTATATAATAAAACAGTTTAAAAAAATAAAATAAAATAAAATATAAATTACTATCTTTATATTACTTTACTTGTAAAAATTTAGAATTGGGTAAAAAAAACAAAATTTAAACTCATCATGTGGCATTCTAACTTGTTAATATATTTTATATTCTATATTGATATATTTTTTAATCTAAAATATATAAATTTAAATTTGACAATAAGATTTTAAAAATTTATTATAAAGTTGTTACTTTTTCAATGAATTTAATATAGTTAATATTTGTTTAAGGCTTGAATTAATTGTATAAACAGTTTAAAAATATATATATTATTTAATTTTTATTTATTTTAATACTAATTCTAGTTATATATTTAATTTAAAATATTACCTCAAAAAATTGCTTAATTTCTATATTAGTAGCAGTATATTTAAGAAGAAAATAATTATTATAAAGCTTTAATTATTTTGTTCTTTATTTAGTATTTTTAACTGATATAGATAATTTTGCTTTTGATTAAAGTTATTTTTGCTGCTTGACAAATTGGGATCTTTGCTAGCAAAATGATCTTACGAGCCATTGTTACACGGGGTTTTTATTAAGAAAAACATAATAAATCTATTTTTAGAAAAAAAAATCCTAGCAAAGATCCCAATTGACTTTATTATTTTAAGTTATAAAATTCTAATTCAGTATCTTTACTTATTTGCTACATTTTGTAATACAAATTTAACTATAGTATTTGTGGTAGTACTGTAGCAATTTGTTCTTCAACAAAAATTGAATCCTACAATATGTAGTGAGAGGTGATGATAGGATAAAAAAAAAAACCCCCCAACAAGTGTGTTTTGTATTTAAACTATGCTTTTAAAATCATATGTGCTAATGATCAGTCACAGGTACCTGATAATCTAGGGTCGATCAGGGCACTTATACTATTACTAATGATCAGTTAAGAATCAACTATGGTGCATGAAAAATATGTAAGAAATACGAAGTCAAAATACTATGTGATTAATCTATAATGTAATCAATTAATAAATTAATTAAAAGTTATAAAGTCAATTATGATGTAATTAATTAATTTATGAGCTAAAAATATATATATAAGTGTATCGATGAGTTGAGCGAAAGTTGAGTTCTTTTCTTTCCTTCTCTTTTGATAAATAAAAAATTAAGGTCAAATAAAAATGAAAAGAGTCTGTCTGCATTTTATTTTACAATACAAAAATACTATTATCTCATATACAAAATAAACTTTTAAGAAAAGCAAAATAAATATTTGCTACTGAAGAGTGAATGAATATCATTATAGAAGAAAACGTGAATAGGCATAGCAATTTGAATTATCCCATTAGTGAACTAGAAAGAGATATGACAGAAAAACCTGGGTAAGATTATTATTAGATAGATAATAAGAAACGTTAAAAATCCCATAAGTCACTAAAATACTTCAGTACTGGGGTGTAAATAAGTACTGTCAGGGCAAGAATAAAAAAATGTTAAAAATCCCATAAGTTGCTAAAATACCCTGGTACTGGGGCTTGAATAAGTACCGTGCAAGGCAATGTCATGTAAAAAAAAAATAATAATAATAATATAATATAAAATAATAATATATATTTATAGAACCTGGAACCCGGGACCTGGGGTTGATACCAGATTAGAGGACCGTCTAAAGCCAGGTGCGTTCACGTAACTAACAGCCAATCAAAATATAAATTTTGATAAACCCGGATCAGCCAAAAACAAAGAAAAAAAGTGAAAACCGCCGAAAATACAAGAAACGAGTGTCTAAACCTGTCTT